CTTTAAGTGTAAACGTTGTTTAGTTATTTCAGGTTATGTGATTATGTTTTTCCACTTTTTTAGGCGCAAAAAAAAGTAAAATCTATACTTTATTTCATTAAAATCGTTTACATTCTGACTGAACTGGATCAATTGGAATATGGGCTTTCTATTAGACGTATATATATATATCACCTTTTTTTTTACTAGATAAAAAAGTCCTTTCTTACTATATTCAGTGAACATTCTGCTGCGCTCGTTGATGTTTGCTTTAGAATAATTGAAGGATTTGAATTCATAAAGTTTCTGAGAAGTGACTGTTCACATATGCTGGATAAATTAAGTCATACAAAAGCAATACTTTATCTACAGCTTAAATACTTTGTTTTGTTTATTGTATTGAATAAAAATATAGAAGAATCTATAAATTTGTTGATAAATCACTTATAATTCTTAAAATTAAAAATTATTTTTGTTTTATAAAAATAAAGCAATATCTAATTTTCAGATATCTTTGTCTATCAACATCAAATACTTTTTGTCATAAAGAGTGACTTTTAATTAAAGCTTATCGCTTTTAATATTCGATGCCTTATATATTTTCATTATTTTCCAAAATTCTATTTATGAAAAGGAATATATATATATATATATATATGCTCTTGGTATATATTTTTTACTATACTTAGTATATATATACATACATATATATATATATATATAGATAAACATTAGATAGTTATCAATGTTTCTTGAAAATCCCCTTAACGGGTATTTTGGTGATCTTCCATATGTTGGGCCCGTTGAAAGTAGTGCCTTTTTTCAGCTTGTTTCAGAAGCTCGACTGCATAAGCTATCAGAAAAGATGATAATTAATCCAAGGGAAATTGATTATTTTGTTCACCCGAAAAGTAAATTATATTCATCTATTAAATTTAATCACAGGCAAAGCTCTTCAAAGATAATAAAAACTACCATTTACCCGGAACTGAAGAATAATTTTCATTCAATAAGTTCTTTTAACCGAGGTTCTAGTCCAAAAATTATTCACATTAAAGAATCGGTATCACGTATTTTTAAACCAAATACTGATACAAATCTAACAAATATAGTAGGATTGGATTTTTACGGCATACAAAAAATATGGTCAGAGCTCATCAAATTCATCTTTGGATATGAACCAGACACCAATTTATATTTTGCTATTCCAAATATAGACAACTATTTACAAGATGAACTTGGAACTGGTGATTTTCTCCTTTCTTTACTTCTTATAGGGGTTGCATCAATTGTCGATTTTGTCGTTTCCAGAGAGCTAAACGTTGGAAGAATCAAAAACGTGTCGCTCGAGCTTACTGTTTTCAGTAACAACTTCGGAAAATCTATTGCCGATACTTTGGAATTTTTCTGCGAAAATACATTAAACTTATCAGTATCTCGCAGTTTTTGTTCTCCTGATGAAAAAAACATTTTTTATCAGAATTTGTTCACAGAGATACCCAGTCTCACGATATCGTCTCTCAACGAATTAATAGAAAATGTGAGATCTCGATGCGTTGACAGACATGAGGAGTTATGTGATTTAAATTTTTCTGAAAACGAGTCACCAACGTTTGCACCTGTTATACTAGTTATTGTCCCACTACTGAATTCAATTCGTATCAATTTAAAGAAGAGTCTTCTTGACAGCTACTCCTATGAACCCATCACCGTGTTATCTGATATGGATTGGGATGCCACTATACTGGATCAGAAAACACCAATTATTTTTTTCTGTTCATCGGCATGGATATTAGAACAGGCACGGTTTCCAAAATATGACCAGCTTTTGTGTAAGCTTAATATAAAAACAATTCTTCATTGTGGTTTTATTGAATTTAAGCTGACAATTGAAGAAGAATTAGCTGAGACGATAACGTTTATAAAGTTTTTAAATCAGTCATCATTTGATATTTCATTTGTGAAGCATTTACCACAATCATTTTCAGAAAATGCTGCATATCCTTCTAGAATGAACGCGATAGAGGTAGCCGGAAATACTATTCTTCTTATGTTTCGACTGTTTATGATGAGGTACTCTCCAGTTTCGGAGCAGCCGTTTTTTACCTTCCCAAGAAATATTTTTTTCAGTGAAAGTGCTTGGAGACTTTACCTAAAGTGTGTACCTATACTTTCATTAGGAGGCTTGATTAAAGCAACCTACGATCACTCTGACTGGCCGATAGTAGAGTTGACAGTGTTAGGAAGGTTTATTTCACTTAGATTCAGACTTACCGAAAACGGTACTGAGGGGCCAGAATTATCGCTTATTGATTCTAAAATAGTGGTTTGGTCACACTTACTACGACAAAGTTATTCTGACACATGCAGCCTTATTCAGGAAAGATACATATTTAAGGATTGGATCAATTGTAATGTCAAAAAATTCTGTGATACTTATAAAATGATTCTTTCTGAGGGCAGCACTAGCAGATTTCAATCTTTGATACGCCAGCTTTCCAATTTTGGAATAAATGATTTAAATGACACAAAAAGGACTCACCTTATTCTGAGTTCACCCTCAGGAAGGAGAGGGCCTATTCCGTTTCAATTGTCCGATCGACGTGTCACGACGTGCCGTGGTTGGTTTGATAAAGCACCACTACAGATAGGTCTTGTTTCAGAAAAAAGAAGCGTTGAGACTTTCTGTCCTCCTCCTAGTTCTTTGTATTCTGAGGTTGAGGTTGCCTCAAAGGGGTCTATTTTTCGAATCCAATGCCCAACAGAAGTGTCGTACCCTATCATTGTCGCTTACTTTATCTTGCACATTTCCCTCCATAATAACGGGATTTTTGTGGAGTCGGTGGACGCAGTGCCACCCGTACCTCTTCCTAATAGTATACTGCAGTCGCACACCATGCTAACTGTATTAAAGGATCCAGATCTAGATAATGTGGGGTTATGGCTTGATGGAATTATGTGTGATGCAGCTTTGGCACCTTCTGATCCATCTATGCTGGTCAATCTTTTGTTGAAAGGCCAACATTTTATTGAATTATGCGAAAGAGTGCCTTTTACGCGAAAAAGAAAATTACCTAAAACTGAGCCTAAAGTTAATTGTAATCTGGCTACAAGTGGTGTGTTTGCCGGAGTTACACCGAGATCATTAATTGAGTCAGATACAATAGAAGAATTTATAAACCTTGTTGGCACGATTGGTAGGGAAAAAGCTGAAAGTACATTTAGGCGTAAAAAAGGGTTTGGGTTCCTAGATCCGGATCATTATCTTTACCCTTACTACCTTCACCTTCTATCCAAAGGCATTTAGCTATGAAACCATGCGTAAGGGCACTGCACCTTGTCTTTAATACCATTAAAATGATCATATTTATATACATTTATCCAGACGAATCACCATGCCTTAATTTTATGTGCGGTATTTTTTTCCATCTTTTTTCTTAAATTTATGAGTTTTCTAATGAGGTTAAAAATACAAAGAAGTGATATATTCATATCTGTAATACATCGTAAAATCAATGTTTCTTCCCCTTGCATTTATGAAAATTTTCATGAGTAAGTCTTGCATGTGCTCATCTTTGATAATCATAAACAGGATATGGGGTTCAAAAAATTGTGACACTCTGCACATTACTTGTAATGCATCTTGAACAAGTAGACACCAAACATCTTGCAATTTCGTACTGACGGATCACGGCTTTAATATATTTATCAATATATTTTCTATTAGCAATAGTTAATAGTTTTAGATGGCTGAATCCTATGGCGTAATTTTCACTTTTCACCATAGTGACGCTAGGCTACTTTTTAACTTTGATCGGGAAGACATGGAACCAAACTTTCAGGCATTTTTACGAGTACTCAGATCTTTTTCCACATTCTTTACTCATGCGTTAAGTTCAGAGGAAAATATTTGCCTTCGTTTTTTTTTATCTCACTTAGATCTTTTTAGATCAAACAAAGTCCTTTTCATTATATAAAATGCTTCACTATTCGAGGAATAAAATTTCAATCGCAAGTTTTGATTTTGAGTGACTTTGATTTATTAGTGTACTTATGAAGTCTGCACATGACGTTATGATTTCTATTTATTTATTACAATATGGATTTTGCCCCCCCTCCCCCTCCCTTTTCTTCTTCTTCTTCTATACTTAGGTAACAGAATAATGTTGCCTTTCTCAAAAGTTTATTAATTGTTAACGCAACAAGAGTAATTGATAAGAAAGTGAAGATGGATATATGTTTAGTTTAAAATTCTATCTTACCTTAAATTGTGATTTCAGACTTCGTTAAGGACGCTTTTTTTTCACTCCGTAATTACACTTAGATTGGCGATGGAAAGTATCTTGTGTTCATATTTACAATTTTCGAGATACTATTTAACGTATTATTACTTCCCTATTTGAATTCCAGGTTCTTGTTTAGAATAAGATGTCATTGCGTTTTTGGAAAACGAAATGTTACGCATTCTTTTACCAATACTTCTTGAACTACTCCTCAATCAGTTTTTCAGTACATAAGTTTTATTACAAAGATACAATGAGTGAAAATCAGCCTAAATTTTTCGCTGCTGTGCTTGAATCGAACTACGAAAGCATAGCGCAGATACGAACGATGTGCAGCCTTTTGTCTGGCATGGCAGCAGGTATCCTTGGCTTGACAGGCATTTTTGGACTCCTGTTTTTTATAGTAAGTTCTGCGATAGCCTCATTCGTAATATTAACAGTTGGTTGTAGAGGAAGTTCATTAAAATACTTTCCCAAAGGGCCCAAGGAGCTTTTCACATTTGAAAGCATGATAAGTGGTGGTATGACATACATTCTTGCCTGGATTGTTGCATACGACGCAATTTATATTTTTTAACACACATTAATAGGTTTTTTGGGGTTGTGTTTACAGGCATGAAATATCTATATGGATCGTTACTCTTATTTAATATTTCAATTGGTGTAGTTGTCTAAAAAATAATACTTTTTTCTTTTTTATTAAATGTACCTTTCCCTTTTCATCATCTTTTTTTTCCAAGATACCAACTTGCGCTTTATTATTAATTTACTTTGAACAAAATCGCATTAAATTGTTTTACATCATACTTGAATGTCTGTTTCCGTTGCTTCTCGTACTCCAAAGCGCTCCGTAGGGCATCTACGTGGCGAAAAGCCAACTGGTCTGCATATGAACCGTAAAAAGCTTTATAGCGTGCGAGATATTTGCCTTGACAATTACGACACTGAATACATGTACCTGCGAGAGAACCGACTCACTAAATTTGATGCGGAGGTCAAGATGGAATACCTTCGCATCCTGGATTTATCTATCAACAACATTGGTGGCACAGTCGATTTTCTTGATAAAACTCCGCGTTTGCATCACTTGTATATGACTGGGAATATGATTGAATCTCTGGTTGGCATATCTAACTTTCCAGCACTCGAAACTCTTTGTCTAAGTGATAATGCTATCAGCAGTTTTGAGGGCCTCGAGAATCTGCCTTCTCTCCGTGTGCTGTCACTGAACTTCGATACTATCTCCACGTTTAAGCATTATCCCATTCTGCCCAATCTGCACACCCTTAACCTTGTCGGTAATCCAATTACCGAGGTTCCCTCATACCGTAGCATGGCCATAGCCATCAACTCTCGCAATCTGGTTTCGATTGATGGAAACCCTATTCAGGAGGGTGAACGAGCAGCAGTTGAGCATTACCGAGGGAAGATCGCTACTTGTATCCGAGAGGGCTTTGTAGTGGAGGGCGAAAACGTCGAAGAGGCTTCGGGGGCATTTTTCCTGAAGTCTCAACTTCAGAGGCAAAAGGCCGAGTATCTCCAGCTCTGTTCCATTAACCTTTCCTCTACTAAGGATGGCGGCGCTATCTTGATGGAAGGGTTCCCGGTAGCACTATCCATTTGCATGCAGGACGTTCGCCCGTACGAGGATCGAATTTCGAAGGTGTTCCATTCACCCTACTTATACCCAGTCATCTTTCAGGTATCTGGGGAAGCAACTGAAGTTTTTGTGGTGGGTTCCATGAATAATTGGACTGACCCTATCAAACTTGAGCGCTGTGAGAACGATAAAGAGGTCTTCTTCCACACAACTCTATACTTGCCTGCAAACGACTACGAGTATCGGTATATAGTTGATGGCGTTGAGAAAGTTTCCGATATAAACCGTATTACTTCCAAGTACAATCAAGGGTTTTGCAACCTGTATAAGGTTACTCAACAAACACAAAATAAAGAATCACATGACACCATTTTGCACATTCGTTGGATGCGCAGCCACGGCGACGGCGTTTTCGAGATTGTTGAAAATGAAAATTCGCTTCTATACATGCCAACGTTTGACGACATCAATGCCTACTTGCGTGTGGAAGTGCTTGGATATGTGGATGGTGAATTCTCTTTCATGTACTTTGATCATTCTTCTCCTATGGTTAATTCTCCACCATACTGTTCAAAATTACAGATCAAGGGGAGTCCTGTGGAGGGGTCCGTACTTACTGTGGATGCAGAGTACAGTGGTGGCATCGAAGGACACTCTACTATCAGTTGGTTTCTCATACCTATCGACGGCAACGAGATTCCCATCGATTCGCAGGATCTATGGGAAGGGTATAAACTCACTCATAAAGATATTGGGTGTTGCATCCGTGTGGAATTCACTCCTGTGCGTAACGATTGGGTAGCTGGCGATCCCAAGTCAGTCATTGTGGGGCCAATTGTCCCTGGCGTACCTGAATGCGAGTCTATCAAGATTATTGGCAACTTATATGAAGGAAGCCAGTTGGAGGTAGAAGTCTTGTACACTGGAGGTGAGCAGGGTGATAGTGTATATCAATGGCTACGAAAGGTGGATGCTGACAATGAGGCGTACATACCCATTGAAGGAGAAAATGGAACCAAATACATGCTCACCGCAGAAGATGTTGATAAGTGCTTGGCAGTGGAGTACACACCCGTGAATAGCGAAGGTAAGAGTGGAGAAACATGCCGCTGCGTTCTCGAAGATCCTATAAAACCTGCCCAGCCCATGGTTAAAAATTTGCTTATTTCTGGGGAGCCATGTGAAGGCCACACGCTTGCACTTGAGTATGAATATTCAGGTGGAACATTTGGTGAGCATATAATACAATGGTATCGCTGCTACCCTGATACGGATGATCATGTACAGATTGGTTCACCTAACAGTGTTTATTTGAACTTGACTAAGAAGGAAATCGGATGTTTTATAGAAGTGACCATGATACCAGTTCGCTTCGATGGCGAGCGCGGACAACAAGTCAGTGCCAAAACGGACGATCTCATCATCGCCGCGAAGCCTGAAGTAAAATCCATGAATATTCTTGGTGATCCAATTCCAGGTAATGAGCTTTACGTCCAGATCGATTGCTCTGGCTGTGAGGTTGATGAATCAGCCATCGAATGGGAAATAGAGGATCCTGAAACGCACGACCTCAGGCCTGCTGCCCGTGGTGTCAGCCGATACATTGTATCTGAGCATGACGTCGATAAAACACTCAGGGTTATATACACACCCGTTACAGGAGATGGTATTAAAGGTGATACTCAGTGGCTTTCAATTCAAGTTCTGAATGAATAGAGAGTTTTGGGCATGACTTAGATTCGCTACATTAATCCATCCTGCAATATTAACACGAGATCCAAGCAAAAAATGGAAACTCCCGTTGGGGAGATGCTTGCCAAGGAAGCTTTATTTAATAACACAGCGGCAGCATAGGAAGGTAGACCGAGTTCAGAAGACGCGGTTCACCGCATTCGCAGTATTTCTAAGGATTAAATTTTTTTAACGAGAACCCAAAGGTGCATGTCGTCTCACAGAGGTCTGTTTAAAATGAGCACAATGATAAAAGGCAACCCTAAATGACTCTTCCATTTATCAGACTCCGCGTGAGGGGTCATATACACTGCATTGATGCTCAAGAAACTCGTTATTCAGCCAATCTGATTCTAATCCAATATATAATATTCAAATAGAAAAGTTTGAACTTTCAATGACATTGATAGTTGAAATAGAATCACATGCACATATAAACGTGATAAGCAGTTAAAGGGTGGGGGTTCGCATATTGATTACAACTATGCACTACGTAAGAATAAAAATAGTGAATATACAACAAAAAAACAGTATTTGTTATTTCAGTCTTAAGTTTATTGTAAGTAGAAAAAAATATAGTGTAGCAAGCGAAGGGAAAAACTCTTGGTTACTTGGTCTATGTAACCACATTTATTATTATTATTATTATTACTGGAATTTTTTCGTTATACATTTTTTTGATTTATTGAACTTGTTTAATTATATTTTATTTCTGTGTTTGTGTGAGTCGGAAGGGATAAAAATATTAGATCAAATAGCGCAAAGAACAATATATTGAGATGTGCTTACAAAGTTGAAATATGCCTGAAAAGGAAAATATTATTTTAAGGACTAAAAATTGTTATCAATATGCCTGAATGGTTTTTTTTTGATATTGAAGTGCTTACTGAATAAAATTACCGTATAACTTGTATAATTCTAAAAAGCTTTGATGTTTATTCATGCAAATCTCAACCTCTCCCTTCGTTTTATTAATTAGAGATCACAACTACCATTCTTTTTTATTTTTTAGTAAAATAAAGAACTCGATACAAAAGAGTAGTTTTGAAGTCTTAGTGGAGCAATTGTAATGTTTTTGTAGTTTCATACGAATCAGATAATTTCAGATTTTAGACAAACGTGGAGGCTAAAAGTTGTCAAAGGAAGCCAATTCATGAAAAGTCAAAGACCAATGTTTATATGCTATCATTATCGAGGATATTTGTTACGGCTTTGAGACACCCTGTGAATTATAAAACACAAATAGGTTTTATTTATAGCAGAGTTCTAGTATCGTTGTCATGGAATCGATATCTATCTGTGCCAACAAAGCGCGACTTGGATATTCAGCAGCTTAGCGAGGAAGTTTTTTCTAGAGGAAACATGCACTTAAAAAATGTTGATACTCTTTCTGCACTTCCAGAGGGTTTGCATTCATTTCCCGAAGTTTGCTTTATTGGCAAACCAAATGTTGGCAAATCAACTCTAATATCTTGTTTACTTCATAATCCCAAGTTGGGAAAGGGTGGCAGAATAGCGGGTACAACTCGGTTATTGCAGTTCTTCAATGTCGGAGACGCTTTGCTTCTTGTGGATACCCCTGGCTACGGCGGATGGGGTAGACGCAATCTTTCTCAAAAGTACTGTAAGCGTGCTGATGCATTTGCCATTCTATTTCGATATCTTGCGCTTCGCAAAGAACGAAATCTTAAAAGAGTGTACTGGCTTATTGAGGCGTCCGCTACAACACCGGTGTCGATACAAGCTAGAGATGAGGAAATTCTTACTTTTCTTCGTCGTGAAGGAGTTCCATTTTCCGTCATTTTGACCAAAATAGATCGTCATAGGCGGCACTACTTAGATCAATACCACAGGTCCGACGCTTTGGGAAGGAATGGGTCAATCTTTCAAACGTCCATGCGAAACATCCGCTTGCCGATTCCTACTCCTTTAGAGGGATTACGCCGTAACATTCAGGAAGTATGCGCATTTCTGGGCACAGAGAGCGTTCCTATTATTGGTGTTTCCGCTAACCGTCAGTGTCCGACGCGTTGCGAAAACCTGAGTCTGTTGCAGCACGATCTGGTTTATTACTGCACTCAGGAGCTTTGTAGTGAATCACAGCTAAGGTATGCGGATCTTCATGACTTAAGTTACTTTCCCCCATCAGCAGAAGATATTCAGAAGATTCAAAGAAAGTATCCAATAGAAGCGTTTATTATTCCACAAGATAATCGCAGAAGCTTGAAAAAAATGGTGGATTTACATGAAGATGCAAAAGCACGTTACGTGGCTTCCAATTCTCGCGTTAACTTTTTCACTGCCATTGATGCAAAGGAATGTAATCTTTTAGATTCTCGGCGAAATTCTGGTGTGAAAATAGAAGAGGATTATCACAGTCCCAATGTTGAAACACTCTCTCCATCAGCCTGCATGTCAGTGGGCGGAACTCCACTGCCACTTGATGTTAAAAAATCATCACCTGAGGCGCAGGACTGTCCTTTTCTTTCTAGAGACGATAATGCCAACGAAACTTTTTCCATATATAATGTAAAAAATGCAAGAAGCATACACCTTGATGCTGTCTCTGGAGTTACGAGCGAAACGAAAAGCTCTACGGATCAGGATTTTTTTTCATTGTCTCAGGGTAACAAATCTTCTTCATCAAGTAACATCTCAACTACACTATTATCATCTTCAGAGCCAATCACAGAAACGGTCATGACCATAAATGGCGTTCATATTCCTCGGAGTATGATTTTGACCTCGGTTGAAGAGTTGGCAAAAACAAAGGATGACGAGTTACCGTGGCTTGGAGGTAAATTAGGGATATGTACCTATGAAAAAATAATATCACAAGATCCTCTGGATTGTGCTAGCACACCTTTTTTCATTCAGCACGATTCCGAAGCACAATTATCCGAAGCGGAACACGATTCTATTCAGCGAGTGCACGTGTCCTCTGCAGCCAAAAGGCGAAAGGAGCGACTGCTTAATAAATATTTATCAAAAAAAAGAAAAGACCGTTCCATCTATTTACACGCGGAGGGCTACATGTGCCCATGGCTTGCAGGTGCTGGTCAAGACAACCGACAAGCTGTCATGGGATTAGACAGCATTACAGGGGATTTTATAGGAAAGGGCACCATCTTGAAGGGCCTCAAAAAAAGTGGATTTGGAGGTAAAAGCTATTCTGCTAAAACACTTCGAAACCGCGGCCGCTCAACCAAAAAGACTGGTTTTTGGGCAGCTTAAGACTATCTTTTTGATGGCTTACATTTTTTAAAAAGGTTTGATTTCTTGTGATTCCAGGGGTAATTCTTAAATTTATAGCATTCTGTTGGTGATTCAATTTCTTTTTCCCCCTATTAATTGATTGTTAGTTATCTCGATACATATACTGTAGTGGTATATTTATCAAAGTTCTTCCTTAATATTCTTTATATCACAAGGCATTTAATTAGATCAAACAGTTTCTCTTTTTTTTTTTCATTTTTTAGTTTAATCACAAAAATTGAATTGCTTATGGGGGCCGATATTTTTGAATTGAAAGGTAACACTGCATTATATAATGTTCTAGAAATTCAGCAGAATGCTACCGAAAAAGAGATCCGGCGGTCTTACTATAGACTTGCTATGATTTATCACCCGGATAAAAATCCAGACGGTGAGACTATTTTCAAGGAAATATGCTTTGCATATAATATTCTTTCTGATAAGGAAAAACGTGTTATGTATGATAATCAGACGCTTAGAAATAATTTGCTTGATCGTGCCAAAAAGGAATACAATCCTGAAATGGACCCCAATGTGGAGTTGAGTCCGGAAGATTTACGGAAATTTGTTGAAAAACTTAGAATGGAGCAGGAGCGCAAAGGAAGAGATCTTAACGAGTTTGAGCTCCGCCGCGCAGCTGAGATGCAGCGCCGCTCTGAATATGTTCCCAAATATTCAGGCTATGAATCATATTATGAAACATCGTTGAAATTTAGCGAATTATCCAATGTCTGCCACGATAAGGGTGATACAAAGGGAGATACCGAAGTGGTTTCGAATATAGTGAGACCTTTCCGTACGACAGCAGAATTATTGTCAGGCATGCAGAAGGAGGAGGAGCAGCGCTTCCATAGTTTGAAAACGGATGTTTCCTCAATTGCAAGTACAAATTCACAGACAAATGCCTGTGCGGCAAAGAAAAAAATGATGAACGAATATCGTGTTTTACATGACCGCGAGGAACACCCTTCTGGTTGTGTTGTTACTTCCGTGAATAAGACATCAGCAAGGAATCTAGGATATGTAGGTGGGAAGGAATCTCAGCTTTACTACAGTGATACTATTGATCAGAAACTAAAGGCCTATTCTGATTTTGACTACCGAAGCTTTGTGGAGAACGGTATCCAGAATCGATCTGTAATCGAGAGGGCTATTTTGTCTGATGCTTTACAACAGTATGACAGATACCATTAATTGTTATATAAGCTTTGTTTCAAAATTTAACATACATTCACTAAAAAACAATGTAAATTACTGCTTTCCGTATATATGTGTATTGGTTAAAATTGCAACATTTTCATGCCCGTATATATATTAACCTAAAAGGCTCTTGCTCAGGTTGGAAATGCAAAATTTATACTACTATTGAGTGATTATGTTTACAAATAAAAGTCAAAAACTTCCGTATTAATTTGTTTTCATTTAAATTTGTCTATTTTATGTCCATTCTTTCTAAATTATGAAAAGATAGAAACAATTGCGAATAAAATAATTCATTATTAGCTAAAGGAAAACATATAATAGTAGCAAGTAGCAACTTTTTTTCCTTTTTTGATTTCATCATGACATCACTTGATCAGCATCTGGATACACTTAATAAGTGCCAGACCATCAAGGAGAGTGATGTTAAAGCACTTTGTACGCGTGCAAAGCAGATATTGGATTCGGAAGGAAATGTTCATAAAATTCCTGCTCCTTGTACCATTGTGGGCGATATCCATGGACAGTTTTACGACCTCTTAGAACTCTTTCGCGTAGGAGGCGATGTTCCTGACACGAACTACGTCTTTATGGGTGACTTTGTTGATCGTGGATATCACAGTGTGGAGTCTTTTCTTCTTTTGCTGGTATTAAAGATTAAGTATCCTAACCGCGTTGCACTTGTGCGTGGAAATCATGAGTCTCGCCAGATTACTCAGGTGTATGGATTCTATGATGAGTGCCTTCGTAAGTACGGTAGTGTGAACGTATGGCGATATTGCACAGACGTGTTCGATCTCCTTCCACTAGTTAGCGTTGTAGAAGAAAAGATATTTTGTGTACATGCAGGGCTGTCTCCTTCACTTACTACATTAGATCAAATGCGGGCTATTGAACGCCGTTGTGAGGTTCCTCATGAAGGAGCAATGTGTGATTTACTTTGGTCAGATCCAGAGGAAATTGAAGGTTGGGGATTGTCCCCACGCGGTGCTGGGTATCTCTTTGGTAGTGATATTGTTTCACAATTCAATGCAATTAATAATTTAGAACTTATTTGCCGTTCTCATCAGTTGGTCATGGAAGGCTACAAGGCTATGTTTAACGACACTTTGGTGACAGTATGGTCAGCTCCTAACTATTGCTACAGATGCGGTAATGTCGCTTCAATATTGGAACTAGATGAACATCTCAATAAAAATTTTAAAATATTTGAAGCTGCACCTGAAGAGGCACGTGAAAACTCGTCAAAAAATGCAATCCCTGAGTATTTCCTGTAGTTTTAGAAGTACGCACAATTATATTGGTCGTCTCTTTACAGGTGTATCATCTTGCATATGAAAGGTGTTTTTCTTTGTAAAAGAAAAGTTAAACACAGTGAGTGATTTTATCACTCCTCTTTGGATTGTCTACTGGAGGCGTTATCATAATCAAAAACAGAGGTCAAATTACCAAAAAGCACATGCTTCCTTTTTTTTATTTTTGCTCTTCTACTGAGAATCGGTTTCGTTTTTTTTTTGCTGCATTTGTGTATTCATTTTCTTTATGTATAGTGGATAAATAAACGCGTGAGGGAGTGTAGAGGAGGATTACCCCAAAAAGTGATATAATTTTCAGAAAATGAATTCACTTACTGTAGTTGGGGTAAAAGCTGAAAGAAAGGAAGTTTATGCGACCATAATATTTGCTTAAGTAACTAGAGAATTTATTATGGGTTTGCTTTGGCATTTTACCTATTGCTTAATTCCGAACTTTATATAGTATATGTTTATGTATACTGTATAAAATGTACATGACCTATATTTAATGGGGCAGGGGAAGAGAATCCTTGTACTTATCCAAAACATTATTTTATTTCACAGATTCTGAGGCATACTCCATTAACTTTCAATCAGGCACTAAATATTGTATCTCTATTTTTGAACTTTCCTAATCATCACTTTCATTAGAGTTTTTTTCTCCTTCTTATGCATGTTTTAAAAGGGTGTTAAATAATGTTAAATTTGATAAATTCCTTATTGTTATTTTTTCTTGATCTTTTTTTAATGTCCCATGGACTGGTTTAAAATGTTTGTTCTGATGAGATCTGTTTCACGGATCATGCTAGTTATGTGTTCTTCCTTTAACTCTTTGAATAATTAAACATATACTTTATTCAGATAACAAAAAGTATTAATATTTCCAACGAACACTCAAAAATACATTCACAGCATTTAGTCTTTTTATACTAAGTTTCTCAATACTTGCAACCATTTTGTAAATGGATAGTGTCGTTCCTTTTGGTGAGACTAATCTATTTCTTTCATTTTGTGTAAGTGAAAGAATGGATGATCCCCATGAGATTGTCTCGGCTTTGACAGGTAATTCTGTTCATCGTCTTGAAGTGTTGGTTATATAAAAATATAAAGGGTATAGTGATGTAGATGAGAAGAAAGCACTATCACCATTAGCTTGGATATGTAGTCTTTCAGTTCACTTTGGCAAGGGTATCGCATTAGTTGTACAGGGTACAGTCCGCGAGCCTTTTGCCTTTCTTCGTGGAATACAGTTTTTATCCGTATGAGTAAAACAAGGGCAAATAGTGCACTTTACAACTGAATCCACCCTATTGCCTCACTCTTATGATATTACACAGCTCGCAAAACTACAAATATGATCTCTAATGATGGGTGACCCTCAATAAGAGGGTGTACTAATCCCATGTTTCTTAGTGATGTTATTCAACATGCGCTCTAGCGTTTTCCATAAAATTGCTAGATTACCCAATATGCATTTCGAGCATCCAATCGTCTACAATATGTTTTTCTCATTTCTGCTCCAAAATGTTTCACTGTAGTCCGCAAAAAAGTGAATGGATTTAATGACGGGATATTTACAACTCCGATAGCTATTTTCTTACAGAGCACTCTTTTTTCGCTTTAGTATGGATCATATCTCCGGGTAAGAAGAGTTATCAAAGAGGTGGTATTAACATAGTGGAGAAGAATCGCTTGTATAACTCAATTTCATAAATTTAAGCCAATTTTCTATGTAAACGGATAGTATTAATCACTATTCACTTGGATGAGCCACGTGTGCAAAGTTAGTATGTTTTCAAGATGATTCTAAAGATAGTGAAGACTTCAATATCTGTCACTGTTGACAAGATTGCGATTACGCGCTCTGCGAGGACGAATATACCTAGCAGAGTTGCCCACAAGGGTTGTAGTGCAGCCGTACCACCCAACATCATTACCGATAGCTTTGCTGTATCATCCATAACACGAAAGATTATTGTGTCTGATGATCGCTTACGCCATATTTATGGTAAGATGATTAGTACGCTTCTCAAGTATATAGGGTCAGTTTTGAAGACGGATAGCATGAATAATAGGGTGTATTCTCCGGGTAATGTACCTGGGTACCACATGTTGGATGTGGAAGACAGAAATGATCAAGTAGACAGAGCCTGAAAAACCCCTAATGCACATTACGGAGGTTGTCCACATGACGGTATGAATGGGTATAGAATTGGATGCAGCGCTGGTGTAGGTAGCGCGTCTCATACACAGCTGGGATGTTATATATTTTGAGCATAGTAAAATTGAGAATAGTTTTTTTTAATCATACTCCGCTCGTTTTGTCTTAAGTGTATAACAGCTGCGCTTTTTTCTTATGGACATATTCAGTACGCATCACTTCATTTGCACGGTTTTATTGAGTGTCTAAAGTATACGATTAGCAATGCGGAAGGGGTCGACTTATCTTTATTCAGTATTGACTTTTATATCTGTCGTTAGCACGTTTTTTTTTCGTGAATCACTATCCGACTTCTTGAAGCGTTCCCCCAACGATTTAGATACATCTATGTATGTGAAACTGCTGGATGCAGTGGACTTACTTCATGTGTGCGTGGATTCCGATAAAAAAAACATTCTAATCAGAGAAACCTTATTGAGTCCGGATATTGATACTCTTGTTATTATGAAACGAGCGTTTTTCACTATTTTGTTGTATCTTTATCCCCAAACGGTATTTTCCTTTTGCTGGAGAAGCTAGTACAACTGTGGTTTCAGGGCGGTGTACGAATGCGTTTGGACTTCAACCTACGTTCGGATGAGCCATGGGGGCACATGGCGTGTGGACTGCATACGAACCACCTGGAGGTCTTTGGTTTTCTATTACACGGCGGTCTCAAGGATAATGTGTGAGAACAGATCACATTGCTACGTAGTCTTGGGCTGAAGGAGGTTGATGACGGATACATCAGTTGGAGTGGTGTGATATGACTCGAAAACTCTGCTTGCCGGGTTTTTGTCCATCTTAGTGCTATTCGATGTATATCTCTGTAGTCTACCGAGAATCACCACATGGTTCTAAAATGATTTTTTTAGCCATTAAAAATGTTGTGTTTGAACTTCAAAGGAGTATTCAGGTGTGTGACGCATGTTGTGTGCCTAAATCTAGATTGTGAAGGTTATTTGGAGGTAGGTATTGCTTACAATGATAACATCACATGTTCCATGTACTCAAAGAACTTTGACACTGAGCAGGTGGTGTTTACCGGTGCCGAGCGATTGTGTTTAACTAACTTCTCCATGATGGTTCTGAATAAGTTTCATAGTTTTTCGTCCATCTGTATGATACTTTGGTTGTGTCAATATGTGTGCGGCTACTTGGGGTTCTCTACAATGAGTTTGAATTTGATGATAAAGAAGGTAATATTAAAATTGATCTGGATTCAGATAGAACTTTTTTAAGCCATAGTGAGAAGTCTGGTTCTGATTATCATGTAAATTGTCTTAATATTCTAGAAAAAACATACACAAAGGGCATATTCGGCTCATATTTTTCACCAACAGTGCCATACTGTTTTTATGTTACTCTTTTTACTATTAAACATTATCATGACTTTTAAATCTAGGTCTAACCTCTTACATGTATGGACATATATATTATATATAAAAAAACATTCCTAGATGTTTATTTATGCTTCAATATTGACCAGTAATGTTTTCTAGAGTGGATGGGTTCAAATAAATGTGAAGAAGAAGTGTAGCATAAGCCATTTGTTACTATAGAATCTTAGTTTTACTAGACAATACATCTTTTGAGTTGCCAACGTTGCTTCCTTTTCCTGCAATCACCCGCATGGAAAATTGCATTTGAGGTCACAACTAAATAGATTAATTTACCCTTTTTATCATTGGAATTAAGAAGCTTTTCCATTATATATTTTCCAATTTATACCATCTTATTATAATTGACGACACCAGATACTCTTTTACATTATTCTTTGGGTTTTTATTCTTAAGTTATCCGAACCCCCTCCCCCCCTCCCTACCTACCTACCTACACACACGCATACATATTGATAAAGAAAAACTACGTTTATTCACTGGTTCGGTGAATTAGAGATATTTTTCAAGGTTTGTACATTTTTTTGTTAGTTTATGTTTCTATGTACCTTACGATAATACTCTATAGTGTAGGTACATTCTTGCCCTAGGCATCCTCTTTTTTTTAGCCTTTTTTCCGCAGGTTTTACTATTTTAGAACAATGGGAGATACGTATTCCGTTAAGTCACATGTGCTTACTCGCGCCGAGAGCGACGAGTTAGAAGTTGCTTTACAGTGTCTATGTGCCAAATTGAAGGCGTCACAACCCATTTTCACAGAAGAAGATGTAACTTTCATTCCTTTTCTAAACGACAGCTGCAGTTCTTCTACACAGCCACCATCTAATCTTTGGGGACTCCCAAATATTTGTGAAGTAGAGGATTTTACAACCGGACAGTTTGATCTTAATAAAAATGGTGAGATGTGTAGTTTGCCATCGGATGAAGCGAAAAGATCTGCGACAAAGTTGTCGTCATCATCTCATTTGGGTAGCATAAGCTGTAGAAGCATCGAAACACCTTTGAATGGTACGATTAATTTAGACAATCCGCTTTCTATAGGGCTTTTTCTAGCTTCTGTTAATATGTTCGAGCCGAAGCTTATTACAAAGAGCCGGAAAGTAGCCCTTGATGCTGTCAAGCTTGTTAAACAAGGGTATGCATTGGTTTATCGAGACCCTCACTTTGTTTTTCATTCTCAGAGCAAATGCGAAGCACATTCTCTCGTTTCAGACGCCATTGCTGTAATGCCATCAGGAGAGAGCATAATTCAGAAGTCAAAACCGCTTGCGAGAACTTCCTGTGTTGTGAATACCATGGGTTATCCAAAACCTTCTTACAAACCCGACCCTGCGCTAATCTTATATTTGGACCAATCTATTCAGGCTTTACTAGTGTACTGTAACGATTCAACGACACTCTCTCAGTTTATTTCATCGAATCAGAGCATTTTGGGTCTTTTTGCCTTTGTGTGTTCAATGTCAAGACGGGCAGAGGAAGGGGTAGTTAATGGAGCTGAGGATGTACCCGGTGCACGTGACGTGAATGCAGAATTAGAAGAATTAAAGTCCCATTGGAGCTCATGCGGTTTAGTTGGACGGGTTGTAAACTACCTACAAGAATGTTATCTGATTGAGTTTCTTTTAGATGATGCATTACCCCCTGCTGTGTGCTCTTCGCGCTACGAAGGGCTGACCGATGCTCTTTGTGACAAGAAACGTAAAATAACCTTGAATATACTGTTGAATTGCCATAAACTATCCAGCATGGTACACATGTCTCCACTCAAGGGCCTTGTTGGTATTATCAAAATGTTTGCGTTCACTGGGGTGAGGCAGCAAGCGCGCTTTTTAGATAGGATTACTGCCGAAGGTCTTATGGAGCGCTTACTGAAGGAGCTAAAAGATGTGTGGCTAGATCTGTTTCCCCCTTTAGGCTCGGTTCATAACATTGAATGCTTATATGTGTGTTCACAAACCGTTTCGAATAGTACTTTTGACAATACATCAATCCACAATCAAATCGATGGAAATAGTAGCTCCTCGAAGAGGAAAGTATCAACACCTCCGATAACTAGTGATTTCCAGACACGAAATAATCTAAATTACACAAGTAAAGTGGTGGAATGCTTAGGATACTGTGCAGACATTCTCTTGATAATTACAAATCTCAACCTACGCTCGGCTCTAGAGACTGATGAAATGATGAAAACCCCAAGGACAGCATCCACAGCGGTGGTTCGCTCAACTTTGTGGGCCTCGCAGGACGCGACCCTTCATGAAATGGTGGCTATTTTGTTGCGTATTGCGTGTTTCAATTTCCATAATCAACAAAACTCTATTAGCCTCCTCAGGTCTTATATTATGGATTGTGTGCTTCAAATAGCAGTCCACAGTGATCCTTTATACAACATGGTAGTTGACGCAATTAACGCACTTTTTGAGGACTTCCAGTTAAATGAAGCAGGGTGGGGCCCACAGAACTTGTCATCTCATCCAATACTTACTATGAATTGGACCACGGCACCGGAGCCTACCACTATTAACGCAGTCAATGGTCTCAAGTATCTAAAAAATTTCACACCTTTGCTCTCTCTTCTTGTGGGATTGCTAGCCCAAACAAATCATGCACAGGTTCACGCGGTTTCGATACGTCGTTGGTTTTGGTATTTATCTACAAACCTTCTCCCGGATGCATTCGAGGTTCCGTCCCTAATAAGTGGACGAAAGAGCACAGTAGCGTGGGGAAGACAGCTTATGAAGCGGTCACAACCGGTTACAAAAAATCTCATGACCAAAAACGTGCTCCCGTGGACGGCGGTGATGTTAGCCCGCAATCTTAGACGGGATGAAATGATTAGTCTTCTGCCTTATTTCACTTTTGCATGCCGTGTTATTCGTGAAACAATCTGGAGAGATGATAGTGAAGTATTCTTTGCAAAAATAATCTCACTATCTTACCATGTTATGATGGTCAATGCGCGACAGTGCAACTTATGCTTTGGCCAGGCCTTCAGTTGCTACAAATTAATGTCTATTATATTGTCTGAGAGGGAGATGGGTTTTACCAAGGACACCAAACTGGAAGGAATAAATTCAATAATTAACAACACGCCTGTTAAAGAGTCACCACCAACACCAAAAAACACTCCTAATGAGTCCTCTGATGTTAAAAAGCGGAGCCGCTCAGTCGCAGCTGTAGAGGACGAATCGTTGCAACTCTTCATACCAAGCCCCAAACATGGCTCAACATCATATGAGACATCCTCTCCTGACCTATTGGATTCTGAATTTCAGGATTGTATAGAAAATGACGACCTTATTAGTGATTCTTATGAAAATAACTTTGCCTCACTTTCTAGAAGCGATGATGGTGCATATGAGGTAGTAGAAAAGACAGGTGATGAGTCACCACAGGGGGTACTGACACAACCATGGCATCTGTTACACAAGGTGCTGTTGTTACCGAATAGAGGCTTAAATAATAGCAAAGAAACGCTTGAGGACTTAGCTCAAAAGAACCATCGCCAACCAAAACTGTAAGTGGCTTAAATGGCTCCACATTTTTTTAGACGTTCTTTACTTTTTTATTTTTTTGATGCCTAATCAGCCCTATTTATATATTTCTACTTATTCTGTGTGTGAAGAGGAGAAAAAGGAGCCTTGGGTTTTTCATTTTTACTGCCTCATCTCATATACGATAAGCAATTTACAAAACAGACAATTCTAGCCAAGTAAAAATAGACTAAGATTTTGTTCAATGATTATTAATTCCGGTTCACTACCCTTAGCGAGGTTGGTTGTTTTCCTCCCTTTCCGCTTCCATTCTTTGTTATATTTGAAGTTAGACACGCTCTAATGTGTGTGTGTTCTATCTTGATCAGTAGCCTATTCAATATATCTGTATTTCTTGATTGAATTCATAAATGTTGATTGAAGACATGTGTATTACGTCAATGAAAATACAAAAGACCTCTTTGCACTTATAGAATTTTTCTTAAGATCTTTTATACACATATGCTTGCGTTGAATTTTCCATGCACCATAGTTCTTTTTTGTATTATATATGCCATTGTTGTTTCTCCCAATACAAAATATATTACTACGTGTTGATTTAGTTTGCTTTTTAGTTGTGCTTGTCTTGAAAAGGGCTAAGTATATTTCCACCTTTAATATTTAACTAGCCCCATCATTCGTCGTTATCAATTACAGCATACATGAATGTTGTAATATGGATAGTATTTTTTTCAAATTATTGCTTTTTCCATGGAATAAGGTTTCGAAAGGGAGAGCTTTGCATAGTTTCAATTCAAGGAATCAGAACAAAGGAAACAATGTTTGTGCCAATGGGAGGGATCTATCATGAGCCCTTAAATAGTTGATTATTTTTGATTCATTATGAAAAATCTACTTATCATTTTTTGTTTATTTGCGAATCCTTTTAGATCTGCTTGGTCTTATATGATTGAGATCAGTATATTGGTGGAAGGAAATGTAAAATTATAGATTAGAATGACACAGTTGATAATGAATGATTTGATATCTTTCTAGTGGATATAAATATTTCAATTCTTTACATATTTTATACACTTTGTTGTATCCATTTTTTTTTAGTCAGAAACTATTTTTCATATAAAGAGGTAACTAAATATTAAGCATCAATTTTCATTATTACTATTACTATTATTGTTTTTAGAGTGTGAATTTATAGAGGCAAAATATTATAGAATTAAATTTCAAGGCACTCTAATATGCCACGAAGAGACGCTTCATCGCGGAGTAATACTGTTTTAACCAGAAGTGTTCATTGCCAACAGACCGAACAGGTCCCGTTTACTAACTTCTTTGACAATAGTATTGCACGGAGCATAAACTTACACACTGAGGATAGCCATCAATCCATGAGCGATGTCGCACATCTCACCTCAAGCTCTCATAATGCAAACAATCACCCTTTGACTAATGGTCTGACTCTCGATACTCCGTTTGACACCACATGGGAGCATTCTTCATTATTACAGAATGTACGTCGACGTATTTTGAAAGAGTTAGAGACGGAGAAAGAGGCGCAAAACCATACATGGCGGCAAAAAAAACCCTCAAAGCTAAATTTACACAGACAGCGAGCCTTGAAAATCACCTTCGGGACAGATTCCGGCGTTGTGTCAACGTCCTGTGGCGAGCGAGGAATGGTCGTGCGGGAGAACAATAAGCATCTAAGCGGCTGTCACACGAACAATCACGATGAACTAATCGTATCCTCGGTGGAATTTTCTTTGTTTTGTCCCTACTCAAAGTTACCGATTCGGTGTCCCGTAAGGAGCTATGACTGTTGTCATTTGCAGTGCTGCGAACTGGAGTCTTGGTTAGTGCTCATGGGTAAGTACCGGTCACTACGGGACCCAAAGGCACCGTGCCCTGTGTGCCAAAAACGTGTTTCAGCCTCTTCGCTTGAGGTGGATTTTTGGATGCAAGATGTTTTGGAGCAGATGCCAGCCGATACACACTTAGTTGTACTCAACATCGATGGAAACTGCCGTAGCGGTGACGAGTCTCGAGAGAAGCGAAAAGAGGGAATGATTACAGATGTGATAGACACAACACAGGGTGATTATAATGATAACCTTAACGAAGTTATTGACGATAACAGTGACGATGATCATTGTAGAAATAGCTGTGGACAAGTTGAATTCAATCCAGTTTCAGTATCTAGAATGATACACAAACGTGATCGCGCGGCATCACCATTTACTAGTATAGATCCACTTGCTCATTCCTCTCCCAACGCAGCCGTGTTTTCTCAAGGACCTCAGGCCATCCCAGCATTAGTAAATAGCGCCGTAAAAACAGAGTTCCCTTTAGCCTCGACAGAGATTTTATCTGCTACCACCATTAGGCAAGCACCTGGCATTTCACAAGATTCTTCTGATGACAATGGTGTGGTAGTAGTTCGTTGCATTCAAGGACGTACCTTACCAAGTCAGTTACGTTTGTGGGTTACTCATTGCATGCACTGTGGTAATTCATTTTCGATGTGCCAGAGTGACCATACAGAAATGTGTAGTCACTGTGGGCACTGTACTAAAGAGCATCAGACTCTGGTCCGCCGCTTTCCCGAGAATCCTGTTGTGACGATGGAGCTGATACCAGATGGTACCTTAATACTTTGTGGAGTGGACGCTATCGCGGCCTACTTATATAGAGCCGGTTTTCAGCGTTACTTAGAACCACAAGAGTTGTTCATGATTGTAAAGACGTCTTCACCGGCCTCCCTTCCAACATCGCAGAAAACAACTCGTAGTGTGTGGGCCAGTGGTATCCCCTTCACAAGACTTGATCTAGACTTCCTAGAGGCATGCTGTGAGCGCGTGGCTAATGGTGAGGGGCTTGAAGAAGTAAGGGATATGATGGTGCCGAGGCTTTTTCGAATCCCGAGGCGACGTCACTCAGCTTTGGGATTTATCACACACCAAACAAGGGTTGAATAAAAAGTCATTTTTTTCCATACAAGCACAGTCTTCGTCATCATAATTCGTATTAGTTATCTCTGTTTTGTGTAATCATTCCTATTGTTGTTTCAATACCAAAACCAATTGCAAAAGACTAAATTTATTTAATGATTCTGCATCTTAATCGGCTTACTTACTCGCCGCAATAAGTTAACATGTAGTTCCAGAACATAGAAAATTATCTATTTGAATTCAATTTTTTACTATCTTTAAGTTTAATAAAGACAGGAAAGCTTCTTTGGCTGTTATTTCTGGAATCACTCAGATAATAGCCACTTTTATCACTTGAAAGAAATCATATATATATAATTCCACTGTAATTCTTGACATATAATTAAGCGGTGTCTGGGCATTTTTTTCTTTTCGCAACTTTTATATTTACTAAATCAACTTAAATCTAAAAGCTTTTTAGTGTTGAGGAGCTATTTCTTTAACAACGATTACAGTAAGAGTAGTATTCTACGAGGAGTGAAACTATTTATAAATGTTTTTCAGCCGACAGCGCTTACAAGTCGTTTATGGATATACAAAAGTGCATTATTTGTCTTTTGTTATTGAGAAATCCTCAAGGTTGAATTTTCTGCTTACTCGCTCGCCGCGAACTGTTCTAGTGACCTCTGGTAAATGCTCTCCTCTCTTGCGGCGCTATCTTATACATGATCCCTATACTGCTTTTTATAGGCCAATATTTGTAGCTTCATGTTGTGTCCAGCATAAAGCGTTTTGTACAAGTCTTGTTATCCAGTCCCCATCGGATAAAGCAAAACAACAGAATATTTTCTCTAGCGTTGAGAAGGCTGCAGCTCCAAAACCCCATGTAGTTGTGACAAAATGTCAACAAAACAATAATACCTTCACTGGGGGTGTGGGGGACTCAGAAGGAAAAAGTACTTTCATGGTGAAACAAGGTGCCAACATTGCAGGTCCCTCGTCAGCGAAGGGGCTTAATACTATGGATAGTGTACACACCAGAAGTCCTGAAAGAAGGCTAGGTGAAGAAGATGGAGTTCGAAAAAGTAAGAGCAGCCACTTGTGGCCGTGTCCCACTATCAATCCGGGTACCAGGTGCGATGTAAATGTTGAAGCGCCATTGGCTACTCCCATGGACAGTGGTGGTGACAAGAAGGAACTCTTACCATTGGAGAATAAGCCAATCCCGAGTTCTGACACAGCCGAAACTTCGAATAGTTCTGCAGATGTACCCGTAAAACGAGTGGTGTTCAAGGTACTTGCCCTTCTGTGGCCCAAAGGAAATCCCCGAACCAAGCTTCTTGTTGTCATGAGCATGATGTGTGTATTGGTGGCCAAAGTCCTGAAGGTCGCTGTGCCTTTTTGGTTTAAGTCTGTTATTGATATTTTGACTCCAAATGCATCAGCTGCCACTGCGCTTCCCACCATCGGTATTTTACCTATGGGTGTGTTCGGTTGTGTTGCAGCCTACGGCATTTGCCGAGCTATGAATTCTGTAACCGAGGAACTGAAGACTGTGTTTTTTGCACCTGTAGGAGGCAAGGCTTCGACACAGCTAGCGATAGAAATGTTTGACAATTTGCTTAAACTCGATCTGAGTTTCCATCTGAATCGAGAAACGGGTGTTTTGAGCAAGGATTTAGATCGTGGCAGCCGTGCTTTTTGGTCACTGGCATATGCCCTTTTATTTTTGGTGGTGCCAACGGCATTTGAGATGGTCCTGGTATGTGCTGCCCTTAATTCTCACGCGGGCACTCAGTTTATTGGGTTGGCTTTGACTGCAGTTTTTTCCTATATACTCTGGACTTACATTGTGAGTAACTGGCGTACTCAATTCCGTAGACGATACAATGAACTTGAGAGCCGTGTGGGTGGCATTACAGTTGACGCGTTGTTGAATTATGAAGCAATCAAGTGTTTTAGGACAGAAGAGTACGAGTCGGCCCGTATTCGATCCAATACGGAGAAGATGAACACAGAGTTGATCAAGCTGGATCAGTCTTTAGCATTCCTTAATTTTGGCCAGCAACTCATTTTCGTGGTGGCAGGTGTTTTATCATTCTACTTGGCAACATGTGGGGCCATTGCAGGAAACATGACTGTTGGTGACTTGGTTCTTACCGATGCTTTGTTGATGCAGCTCTATATGCCTCTTAGCATCTTAGGCATGATCTATCGAGAAATTCAAACGTCAACACAAAACATGCAGTCAATGATAGGTCTCTTGGATCAGTCACCGAGTGTACTTGATGCGATTGACGCCAAACCATATATGTACATCAATGGCACAATAGAGCTTCGTAACCTCACTTTTAAGCATAAAGCAGATTCTGAGGAAGCTCTTATCAGAAACCTGTCTTTGAAAATACCAGGTGGAAAAATAGTGGCCTTTGTGGGTCCCTCTGGCTCAGGAAAAAGCACCATAATACGTCTGATTTTTCGATTTTTTGATCCAACTGACGGAGAAATTCTGTTTGATGGTCAACCTTTGCGCAATCTACAGCTAGCCAGCGTACGGTCAAGAGTTGGCATTGTTCCACAGGATCCAATATTATTTAATATATCTATCAGGGACAACATTTCGTACAGCCAAATTAATGCCACGGACTCAGATATCATAGAGGTTGCCAAGAAGGTAGGCTTACACGAGACCATTCAGAAAATGAGCAAGGGCTACAGTTCATCCGTTGGGGAGCGAGGGTTGAAGTTATCTGGTGGTGAGAAGCAACGTGTTGCGATTGCCAGAGCACTTTTGATGGATCCACCAATTCTTTTAGCTGACGAGGCCACATCGGCACTGGACAGCAAGTCTGAAACTAAAATAATGGAAATAATAAAGCTAGCATCAAAGCAGAGCACACCACGTACTATCATTCTCATTGCTCACCGTCTCACAACCGTTAAGGATGCTGATATTATCTTTGTTCTTGACGGCAAAGGTGGCCTTGCAGAGCAAGGTGCCCATAGTGAACTATTGCAGGCTGGGGGGCTTTATGCGGATCTGTGGTATCAGCAGTTACGAGATCGACAATCCTTTCAGAGGTGCAGTGCAATTCATTGAATCAGATAGAATTCAAAAGGCTGATGAAATGAGGTATTGATAGAAACGATTTCAGATAGAAGGTTGATCACTATAGCTCTGGATATATAGTCCCTACCATTGTGGACATGAAGAGGGGGCATTAGATTTAGAGGATCCCTATTTTACACTATAACTACCGAGCGACGATGCAGATTTTTGAATGAAGCAAGTAAGTACGCTGGATATTAGAAAAGATATGATAAAATTTGTATTTTTCCACTCTATCTAACTTTACATAGGAAAGGGTAGCAATGACTGATTTCATATTTTTTCTGGGATTTTGTGTCATGTAAGTAATACTTCCTTTGGATATGTGCTTATTGCTTTTATGCAACACATTTTAACATATACTGAGGCACGAGTCACAGATTTACACTTTATTAAACGCTGGATATTAGACATTAACACCAATAATTATGTACTATGCAATTTTTTTTTGAAATATTCAGATCTTACCAAAGAACGTAAATAAAATAAGCTATACAATACTCTCTGCTATTTTTGCTTGCTTCGTCACCAAATTATGCAGCATGAGTAACATATATAGCACCTCAAAAGTTTCTCATGAGGTGTCTATTCTGGATACTTCCAATGATCTTCCTCTTCAATCAGGGGTGACTTCAGCGTCTGCGACACAGCGTGAGAATCCGGATGTGTTTGAGGACAAAGTATCTCAAGTCATGTATTCATCATCGTTAACGAATAATATGTCGGAAAAGCAACCCATTCTTAAAAATATACAACCATTGGCGTACGGACATCCGGATCAGCTTGTGGACTCTTTCGACGGCCTAGCGTCTGAAATTCCCAAAAGGAATGAATTAATGATGGAGACTGAAAAATATTCACAGGATTGCCATCGAATAAGCTTATCTAAATTGTTGAACCAAGACGAACACGACATATTAAAGCAGTTTAAATTCGATGGGAGTTCGCCGAGCATGTCTGAGCTGAGTCTAGACAAGCAGACTCGGATATCCGAAAGCATATGGCAGAGAAAACCACGTCAATCTTACCGCACAAAAGATAGCGAGAAAAAAGCGAATGGCTCGTGCCATAGGGGGGTTGATTTTAAATCAGTAAGTGAGGATGATTTACCGCTGTATCTTCGCTTTTCGAAGACCATTTCAACAATATCACAAGAAATCGGCTCTAAATTTGAAGAAGATTCTCAGAATGTCTCCACCGTTTTCCGAAAACGGCAGCGGGCATCCAATATTCGAGCTTTGGAAACGTCATCTGCCTCACCACAAGCAGGCCCTGTGACTCCTTTCATAAAAAGAAAGTCACCTGAACACCAGGAGGGATTGAATAAGGAGCACTTGATTGTGCCACAACCGTGCATGTTACCACACAACATGGCCTGTCTATTCGTCGAGGTATGCGGTGACGACTATATGGATGATGTGCGTGCAACTGCCCTGCGACACCTGCTTGTACGCTGGTCAGGGGCTATAGAAACTGAAGTGTTGTCGGGTATATCGAAAGCTCCCGGAGTTGAGTCCTCTACTTCCCTTTTACCACCACCTCATCGACGTATCATTGTTCTGATGACAGACAACACAAGTGTGCTGGAGAAGAGTCTTTTATGGTGGACACTTCGACCGTATGCGGAGCATGCATTGATTTTACCAATTTTCGGAATATGTCCTATCGGGGATAATGATGAATCTTCGGCTTCTGTCACAACAAGCAAGACAACATTCAACATTAGAGACACTCATGAGGGAAAACGTACTTCTAAAGACATATCCAAAGATGAGCTCAGTACCAAAGCGATTCGGACTGTCAAGCATAATAGCTCGAAGCGGCAGCTTCATATGAGGTTGACGTTACTACAGGCAGTGGCATTACAGCACCTGTGCAATTCTTTTGCAGTTAATACATCCAACAGCTATGCATTGTGCTATTCCAAGACATATTGGAATGCCTTAAAAGCACTTGGTATTCCTACTCACCACATGAAGCATACACTTGAAGAATGCGTTCGATGCATTGATAGGGTCTGCGCTGGTGCCACTAAAACTTTAAAAAAAGTCAAAACAGCGCCGTTAATCTAGGTTTTGATTTCTTGATAGAGCCTTCAGAAGCCGCGCCGAAATACAGATGTGATGGAAGCAGCGTTGATAAACAACGGGAGATCATTTTTTCTTACCTCTGCTCCTGGAACGGCCTTGCACAGATACTGGCAACAAACACTCGTCGTCCAGAGCTTGTCTTGCGTGTGCTCAAAATGCCATATTCACCAATTTCGTCATGTGTCCAATCGGTACGTATCTGCTATGCGCTTGTACGTCCGGTCTCCACGCAGGAGTTGTGTTTTGCATGTGCGATATCTCGAGAGATGCGCCTGCTTGCCTCCCAATCACCTCTTGTGGTGCTACCAACAGGTTCAAGGGAGCTGTTTCGTAATTTTTTCTTCGGTTTTCTTTCTACATTTTTTACTCCTTCTGTGTTCCGCACTGCTGTCGATGTGGTTAGCAGCAGTTCATCTGACTACATTAAGGGATATTCATGTTCTACGTTGGGATATCTGCAATTTGAAGTGTCAAGTTGGATGAGACAGTACATCTACGTGTCCCTTGTTCTTGACCTACGACCTATTGTTGCGCACCAAGCACTCACTAACAGAGATATGTCTCCGTGGGGTTGCGTATTGCAAGCTTTGCAGTGCAGCTGCACACCGCGTCAGCACGAGAAAATCCTATTATCTGAGAATGGACGAAAGAAGTGCCGTCACCACGCTGAGCTTTTGTATTACTTTGTTAATCGGCAAGTCAAAAGTTAAATACAAGAGGCGATAGCCACATACTGCATAAATGAAAACCTTGAAGGATGTCAAAAGTCAGTGACTAGCCAAAGATGAACCCGATGACACAATATAGGGTAAAAGCGATGTTGCTCCTTAAATAGTTGCTGATAGCGCTTCCATTCCGCGTGACTTTTATTCCTCTTGATTACCTTGAATGATCTTCTAAGATGTGTCGTGTGAAATATCATTGAAGGCCATACGGTTAAAAGCAAAAATGGCAGTCCTATTTGAGTATGAGTCTCACTTGTTCATTTATATTCCAAAGTGAATTTGCAGTGGAGAAGTTATCGTTTATTTTTCTGTACTATATCATTTTTTTACCCTTATTCGTGTATATTGATACATTTGAATTTAAAGATAAGCTTCTGAATGCGACCACAGAAACATCGATACATATAGATTATATGAAGAAGGTTATCTTATGCCTACATGGTAGCTGCCAAACAGCAGAGATCTTTCAAAATCAACTCAGTAAATTGATCGATGCTTTAGATGATGTGGCATCCTTTGAATTTCTGGACGCTCCTTTTCTACTTCCTCTTCTTCACCCAGACGACGATGTGCACACGCGATCGTGGTGCTGCTCTGGTTTTAAGGCTTCAGATGAAGCCATTACTCACGATGAAGATAGTGTGAATGCAAATTATGCTGATGGTGATCGATTATTGGATGAGCGCATGCAGCGTGAACCCTTTCCGGATATTTTGTTTGGTTTTTCCCAAGGGGGACTCATGGTTTGTCGATATCTTATGCGGCATTTTGAGGAAGTCAGCACCTTGAAAGCAGTCATTTTTGTTGGCACACCGGACCCTAGAAAAATCTTCGCTGGAGGAGATTTGCTGAATCAATACACGAAACGGGCAAACACTAAAAAAAGTATCACTAATAGCACTGATCAGTCCTTTCTAGGTGACATCTATTCTCTGCATATTATAGGTAAGAAAGACAAAATTGTTCTGCCTGATGAGAGCATCGCCTTTGCTACCGCATGCGCCCCAACAGCGGAGGTTTTGTTGCATGAGCATTCGCACAGTGTTCCACAGCTACAGGTATTATTTTCCGCTATTCGAGCTTTGATCAAGGGACTTCGTGAAGATCCGGAGGTTGAGCAGATATTCACTAAAGAACGAGAGGACGAGCTCGAGATGATTGCCATGATGTATGGTGATGAATGTGTGTGTAATCGTCGTCCTCCTTTGGATGCCATTGTGACTTTGCCACTCTTGGGCGAGGAACAGCTTCCCGATGGACCTGAATCGTGCGCCTTCGCACGTCTTGGTCTTCAGTTTCGCGTCCACCCGCGATATCCGGCAGTACCACCTGTTTTGAGCATCATCGGGGGTCCCACAACAAAACATATGAGATTTGAGCGATGGTGCACTGATGTTGTAGCACGCTGCAACAGATACATTCTGGAGAATACGGGCCTGTGTGGCCAAATGCTCCTACCAATTCGCATATTTGCCAATGAGCAGGCACACGAGTCATTAGCATTTTTGCAGGATGTGTTTACTACCCACTTTTGCAATACAGACACGAGGGATGGTACTGATACTCTTCTATCCACTAAAAAAGACACACTAAGCGAATGGACATCTGAGGATGATGCGAAGCGTTCAGTGTACATTTTAGAGGCTGAAGAAGCGACCAACATTCTTCTGGACTCTGCATCATCATCGAAATTTTTTAGTCAAACAGTTCAGGCAAACGTGCAAACTACACGTGGTGGAGCTTTGAGGGAGAAAGGCTTAGCGATCCAAAGAAGCGGCGGTACGTGGACCCCAATAATTGGGCTCGTTGGTAAGCCTAGTTCTGGAAAAAGCACACTCTTTAATGCCATTACTGACCCACAAAGTGAAAGTGAGGCTGCGCGCGTCGCAGCTTTTCCCTTTACCACTATCGAGCCCAATATCGGGGCCGGGTTCGGTCCAATTTGGTGTCCATGCAGTGTTCTTTTGCAATGTACTGAATGCGCCCAACACAGGGCGCAAATATCTCCTGACCTTACCCTTTGCGTTAAGGAGTGCAACGCGTGCTACGGCCATGTAAGTATTCGCGGCGGCAACAATTACCGACGTCATCCCATACAAGTAAGGGACGTAGCAGGTCTCGTTCAAGGGGCCTATCAAGGGAAGGGCAAGGGAAATCAGTTCCTGAATGATTTATGTGATGCATACGTACTTGTGCACGTGGTGGATGGGGCTGGTGTGACGGATGCTGGTGGATCTTCATGCGCTCCAGGCCAAGGCTCCACCCTTGATGACATCATATGGGTTCGCAAAGAGGTACATAATTGGATTTATGATAACCTTTGTGCTAAGTGGGAGGCTATTCTACGAATGCCTAAAAAGCTTCGGGTCATGTTCACTGGCTATCGTGCCTCACCATCCTTTGTGGATGATATTTTGCAGCGCATTGGTATTGCCAACGATACGATGCTCCAAGACCAACTCAAGACCTGGGGCCCCAGGGAGCTGCATTTGCTCGTCGCTGTTTTCATTCGTTTGCGGTTTCCCATAGTGGTAGCTCTAAATAAAGTAGACCTTCCGACTGCCAAGGGACTAGTTGAGGAGGTGCGTCGAAGATATCCAAACGAAAACTTTGTTTGCATGTCTTCCAAGATTGAATCGGATCTTTTGACATTGCGTAAAAAAGGCCTTGTTGATTATGTTTCCGGAGCGTCAGACTTTATAGATCGATCAGCAGGCATCAGTGGCGTGAGCAAGGAGGACGCAGAGCGGCTGAAAAATACACATGCGTTTTTCCAAACCCTGAAATCCAAGAAATGCTGCGACGAAGCGAATATTTCCGTATCAGGTTTTGATGCACCTATTCTATTTTCGATGTATTCAACAGGGGTACAAGATGTTATAGCAGAAGCTATAGAGCGGTGCACGTCTGTGCATGTGTACCCTGTCAGTGCGTTTCAACCTGTTATCCCATCTCTTAAGCATTGCTTGCTGTTTATACCGGGAACCACCACTGATGATGTGTTTTCAGCCATGGTCCGTAACAAAATTTTGGACGGAAAATTTGTTCGCTTCGAGGCATTTGATATACTAAAGGGGGACAAGACACCAATGATATTAAGGAAAACGGATGTCTTACCCAGCACAACCCTACTGGTTCGAGTATTCTCTAACAAGCGGCAGCTTTTGTAGCACAGAGGGAAAATTATAAAATTCCATTGTAGTGGCTCTGATCTAGTTTATGAAAGCGTGCTGCATGTGTATGGATGCCGGACGAAGTCGAAAGGGACCTAAATAGTGTTTAGGGTTTGTATAAATAGTTACACTTAACAAGGAAGATCTTTATTCTTATTGGACATATTGGGCAAGAATACTTTTTTTCATTGCAAACATAAGTTTACCATGAATGGAAGGACCCTTTTATGATGAGATAATAATTGCAGAATACAATGAGATTATATTAACTAGCTTATATAAATATTTTGTCTTGTAGTATCATGAAATGGTTTGCTATACAGCATTGAAGTTTATTATTCTGTATATACCACGTTCTTCTTTCATCTTTTGATCTTTCTTCCTTTCTCATTGTTTGTTTGTTTCTCATTACTGAAATATTTCAATACGTTCATAATAGTATTCTTTCCGGACGTTTGAGCTGTGGTTTTCCTGAAACATCACTTGAGCTAAACAGGAAATTAATCTTTAAAATTAATTTCAGTTTCTCATTTTTTAAACTCCTAAAATTATACTTTTTCTTTCGACACGCTATACTGAAAATAAGTTGAAGGAGTTTGTAGACTAGCTTTTCTTGTTCTTTTGGTAGGAGTGGACATCTTATTGTCACTTGTTCATCTGTATAAAATCATATATATATATTTATATTTGAGTGTCTTTTAGATTTGCTGCCGAAGAAGATATTATATATCAGCCCATCATCAACATCTTAATTTATCTGCCCCTAGGTATTTTCCTTTATAATACGTATGTCAGTGCCTAGGGTGTGTCGCTACTCGGTTTCAAATCCACCCCCTATTAGGGGTCCTCTTAGCGGCAATGAGACTATTGAGGAGGCTGACCTCCTTGATGTGCAGGCTTTACAGGCAGAAAAGGCCGGTGATGATACACAATGTATTCAAATAATGGAACGATCTGTTCAGATACACGTTCGTGTCGTTTCGCAAATGACTGAACTACTTCAAGGAAACAATTCGAACCTGTCTGTACACACAGCTTACAATAATGCCCTGACCAGTCTCTCTGGTGCAGCAGAGCGACTTGCTATCAAGTGCAACACCTTTGCGGTCCAAAAGTTTAAACAAAGGGATTTCAACACTGCTGAATCACTATTGAAGTACATTCTTGATTTAACTAGTGAAAATGGGTCTTCTCTGTGCGAGACTGATGAACGCCGTTGCTACCTCCGTAGTGTTACGCTGAACAATTTGGGCTGTATGGAGCTCCGTCGGGGCCACTACCCTGAGGCGCTCAAGTATTTACAAGAGTCGATGGAGGTTGTTGGAGCAGAGTCACCAATTCCTTACATTAGCATAAGTGCGATTTTGTTGCAGTTGCGGCAGTGTGAAGATGCGGCTAGCATGGCGCAGCGGGCAATTGATCTGATGCCTGAATCTCCCAAGGATCCTTCATTGATTGCTGTGGCGCACCACAATCTTGCGATGTCATTGGAAAAAATTTCGAAGGATGCAGCCTTAGAGCAGTATGAGGTTTCATATAGGATGGCTTCTGCGACTTTGGGAAAGGAAAGTCCAACTACACAGTTGATTCTGACAAACTGGCAGAGGTTTCAAAGATTACATCAGACAGAAATGATGTTCACCGGTCGATCTATTACAGGTCAAAGTACTCAATTGAAATTGCCTATGCACACCTCAAGATTTAACCGTACCAGTTCTTCTCAAAAACGTGAGCCTATTCGTAACAGCGAACAAGATTCATCCGTGGTGTGTTCTAGTGATGAAGTGTTAGACATATTTCCACATCCATTCTTCTTCAGCCAACATACAGCTTCTGATACTGGCACCATTAATTCAAATAATAAACCACAACCCTATTTGAACAGACCACAACCTTTTGTGCGCAAACCGCTTTTTCCAAATGTTACGGGCACCACTACACGTAGCCACGCCAGTGAGCGTCGACCTTTGCCAAAACACTCATCCAATCAACAAAAGGATCCAATTCAAACTGCCGCTAATTTTCATACAGCAGCCCCGGATCCAGTGTCTACTGTTAACAAGTTGCCGAAGACTTTTCCAGGCAACATTGGGGGATCCACGGCAAGATCATCTGCGCAACACGGCAAGGACAAAGAGTGGTCAGAAACTCTCCCACCAATCAGAAAGTCCTCTCCATTTCTCGTTAATGTTCCAAAGCAGAACGTTCCATGTAAAACTAAGACTAGCTCTAGCAAGCCAATCCAAGACAACAAATCTATTTCACCTTTGCACAAGACTTTAACGACAAAAGAAATTCCTCGGAACCATGCAGCAAGAAGGAATTTATCTCTACACAAAACTGAAAACACAAAAGAACCTCTGCCGAGGTCGCCACCTCAACCTTTATATAATTCCATTTCTTCCTCTTCAGACTCAATGGTTCCGTTGACTTCTATTCGTGGTGGTAACGCTGTCGTGCGCAACAATCCGGTTCACACTGCCTCTGTCAAGACTTCTAAAACAAATGTTATAACACATCCCAAGAATACAGGGTCAACAATATCACATTTACCCAAGCGTGCGGCCCAAACTTCGAATTCAGTTGTGAAGCGGGAAGCAGCAGAAGTAACCAACGCTGCCGATAGCTACGCCGTCTCACCTTCTTTTTCTAGATCCAGTAAGGATCTAATGGAATCGATGACAGATCGTTTAGAGATGCTTCTTCATGACGAGGAGGAGATGGAGCGCAAGTACATGAAGGCTCTTATTATTCAGAGAAACTACCGCCGCCATCTGACGCAGAGACGTGTGTTTTCTATACGTATGGATATGAATTGTGAAAAGAGATTACGCCGCATTCGCGAAAACATGGCCGCAAGGATTATTCAAATGGCTTACAGGCGTGCGCTTGGTAACCGCGCCGTATCACGCAGCTGTCGGCGCCTACTGAAACATGCCACGTCTAGTATGGTAAACACGGCCGCTGTGCGGATACAATCCATGGCCAGAGGCTGGGCGGCTCGTCGTGAGTATCTGCAGCGGCAACGTTATCAGTGTGTGTGCGAGAGCGCCTCCACTCGAATCCAGAATTGGTTTCGATCCTGTCGGGCACGCCAAGAGCTTCAGCGATTACAGATGCAGAAAAAAATCGAGGAGGAGATCATCACCAGGTTGCAACGATGGGATTACGCCGCGAGTATTATACAAAAAGTGTGGCGTGCCCATCGTCAACTTCAATTATACCGGGAACAGCTTCATCAACACCGTGCTCGCAGGCTGGAGAAAGAGAGAGATTTGCTTTACAAAGCTGCTTGTAAGATACAGAGCGCTTGGCGTGGGTTTGTCTGTCGTCGACACGTTGGTGCATTTATGGTAGTGGCAAAAGACCTTGAGGCCAAACGAAATGAGTACCAGCGCCTACGCAATGCCACAGTCAAGATACAAAGCCTTTGTCGTGGTATACTTGTGAGACGTCGCACTTCTTCCTTCTTGGATAAGTCACGGCGACGCGCTGCTGAGGATATTAATAACATTTCTCGTGCACATGCTAACGCTAGTGTGATTCAGTCTGCGTATCGTCGTCACCTTGCGCGTAGACGTTTGTGTTTGCTCAAGGCAGAACACCGTATTACCATGCGTGAGTGTCAGCTCCTTGCTTTGGCCTCCTTGATGCAGCGGGTAGGGAGAGGCTATTTGTTTCGTCTCAATCTTTCAAAAGAAGTTTCACGCTTTAAGGAAGAAGCTAGGCGTTATCATCGGAAGCTAGATGTGCTACATCAAGATAATGTCCATACTGGAAAAGGGTACTCTATGGAACGGTTGTATTTATTACCTGAAGAAGAGGGCATACAGCGCTCTGCAATCGAGATAGAGGAGCGGTGCGGTTGGAGATATGTTAAGGAGTGTGGTAGCTCTATTCCTGTGGATTTGACTGTATTGCCGAGAAATCATACCAACTCAGAAGGTTTTGTAGAGTCTATCGGGCCAAAGCAGGAGGGGCTAACCGAGGAAGCCGTGGGTGAAGTGTGTGTTTGTAAATCCAAGGAACCTTGTACAGTTCAGCTTAGGGAGGAGTCAGCAGTGTTAACCATTACTCGATTTATGCAGCGTGTAGCGGCTAAGCGTGCTTTGGCACGGCGGATCAAAGCAATAGAGCATTTGCGCGAGCAGCAGGAAGATAAGGCTACTAAAGAAAACGAGCCTCAGGAGGAGTTTACTTCCAGTGGTACCTTTACAATCGTGAAGCGACCTCCAATGGAATCAGATCTTACTTCACTAATTATCAGTGAAGCAGTAACCCGTGAACAGGAAGAGTTGATGAAATTGATGGAGATGGAGAGTATACTTCAAGAATCTGAAATTTACCAAAGTTTGTTTGAGGAGGAGACAGCGATACGTTCCAGTCTCCCTGACAAGGATGGATATTGTATTGATAACGACGAAAGTGTACCCCAAGAGGTGAGTGAGGCTGATGAATCACGCACTAATGGAGTATCCTCCAAGCCTGATGAGGCGCGTACAGTTTCCATTGCGCCGGAAGCAAGTTCAATACAGGACCTTAGTGACGGAGTGATTTGGATCAAAGAACCAATTGCTCATCCTGATCTTACCGAGATGACGCTATCCAATAATTCTGTTAGCATGCCAATATCATCCTTTGTTGACGATGAGAACCTTTTGAAAGCATTGGAAGAAGAGCGCATCAAACGTTCCCAACAATTAGCCAAGGAAAAGCAATTGCGTGTCCAACATCAGGCGCTGATTGATTCCAGGCAGGAATACTGCATGAAGAAAATTTACCAGGCACAAACAGAAGCAGACCTGATACCTTACATGCGCAATCGTTTGCGTCTCATGTCGCAATTTGATCACCCTAATACTACGCAACAAAACACCGGAAATATATGCACATCAACTTTGGATTCTGAGTCATTCTTTCTATCCCGAGAAATTGAGAGACAACAAGCGGCAGCAAAGATTAGAAGCGCATACCGTGCTCATCTTTTTCGTCAATATCTTTCCATCATCAAAGATATTTATTCTCAGTACGTCAGCTATCGAGTCGATCAAGAGCGGTCTGAACGTCCAATTTTGATTTACACGCAGGTGGATGCAAATGCCAAGGAGTCACAACATCATCATACTCATGAGTCTGAGAGTACATCCGGCCCCTTTTGTACAGATGCGAGTTTGTTACAACCACCCCCATGTGATAATCGGCCATTACCAACAGGGTACGCCCTTCACAGCGTTCAGGAAACTATCGAGCCAAAGCAGGAGGGGCTAACTGAGGAAGCCGTGGGTGAAGCGTGTGTTTGTAAATCCAAGGAACCTTGTACAGTTCAGCTTAGGGAGGAGTCAGCAGTGTTAACCATTACTCGATTTATGCGGCGTGTAGCGGCTAAGCGTGCTTTGGCACGGCGGATCAAAGCAATAGAGCATTTGCGCGAGCAGCAGGAAGATAAGGCTACTAAAGAAAACGAGCCTCAGGAGGAGTTTACTTCCAGTGGTACCTTTACAATCGTGAAGCGACCTCCAATGGAATCAGATCTTACTTCACTAATTATCAGTGAAGCAGTAACCCGTGAACAGGGAAGAGTTGATGAAATTGATGGAGATGGAGAGTATACTTCAAGAATCTGAAATTTTTCAAAGGTTACTTAAGATGGAGATAGCGATACGTGCTGATCTTCTTGACAAGGAAGTATATTGTATTAATAACGACGAAAGTGTACCCCAAGAGGTGAGTGAGGCTGATGAATCACGCACTAATGGAGTATCCTCCAAGCCTGATGAGGCGCGTACAGTTTCCATTGCGCCGGAAGCAAGTTCAATACAGGACCCTAGTAACGCCGTGATTTGGATCAAAGAACCAATTGCTCATCCTGATCTCACCGAGATGACGCTATCCAATAATTCTGTTAGCGTGCCAATATCATCCTTTGTTGACGATGAGAACCTTTTGAAAGCATTGGAAGAAGAGCGCATCAAACGTTCCCAACAATTAGCCAAGGAGAAGCAATTGCGTGTCCAACATCAGGCGCTGATTGATTCCAGGCAGGAATACTGCATGAAGAAAATCTGCCCGACTCAAACAGAAGCAGACCTGATACCTTACATGCGCAATCGTTTATCACCCACGTCGCAATTTGATCACCCTAATACTACGCAACAAAACACCGGAAATATATGCACATCAACTTTGGATTCTGAGTCATTCTTTCTATCCCGAGAAATTGAAAATCAACAAGCGGCAGCAAAGATTCAAAACGCATACCGTGCTCATCGTTTTCGTCAATCCTTTTCTATCCTCAAAGATAAAAATA